CTGAAATTTATTTTGTAATACTAAACATTATGGAGCCGAAATTTTACATTATATCAAAGAATTGTTTCTAAAATGACAAAAATATGACCTTATTTCAAAATTATGCCAAAATATGCTGTAAAACCAATAAAACTCTAAAATATGCATTTATATGCACAATAAAAACGACATAATTTCAATAAGAATGACTGGAAACATGCATAATTACATTTAAAAATAGGAATAAACCCTAGGAAAAAAATATGACATGTCATAGAAATCCGGGCCCTAGTTATAACTATAAGAACTTTGTTGAATTTAACATTATAGCATGAGGGCTTCTTTAAACTTGTCATCGTCACATGATTTAAAACTGTCACCTATTAATTACATCTTATAATTTTGAATACTTGCATCTTATTGGATGATACCTTACAGCTAGTGAATTTTAAGTAATGGGATATCTGCTGTTTCACTCTTGCCATTGTACATCACAACTATTTGAAATTCAGGTTTAAGAATCTCAGCATCTAATTTCTGTTTTTAACGCCATTGTATCTTCATCTAAAACACTGCAAGTTCTGTTAATTACTGTCAGCTAGCTCAGTCACTGTTGTGCTATGATACTCCTGACAATTTTCCATAACTGCTTGTTCTCTTACTTCAGTCACCTGCTAAAAAAAAGTGATGAATTCTAGAAGAGATAAGTGATCTCTTCTGTGGGTACTGTTAATGCGCACATTCAGTTTAACTAGTATCAGTTCAAAATGTAACCACATATCTAAGTACTGTGTCTCTGGCAAAGTAGCTGAATCAGAACACCTGAAAATCTTATATTATGCACAGTCTGTAATGAAACCTCTGTCCCCTGAAGTATTCAATGTTACGAATTTGTATATTACAGTATTCTGCTCTACATGGCCAGGCTCATCTTGTATTGTAGGAGTAGGGAACATAGGTTAAGTGTTTTATCTGTACCTCACATTTGTTATTTTGACAGTGTATGTTTTTGTTATTTCAGGTGTACATTATTCAGTGAGAAATGATGCTGGAAGGAAGGTAGTTTTAATATTCACTAAATATGATAATTGAAAAAAGAGAAATTGTCTTACATTCTCAAACATGTAACAAATTTTGTACAAAAATGGTGACTGAACATGTGAAGTTGAATTATTTCATTATGTGAAAGAAAGAGCATAAAATTGTGTGCATTTTCTTATTGTTGTTGCTGATTTACATGGCACATTTTAGAAAATGGGAGTTGTTCACCTTTGTAAAATGGTGTACTATATTGTATCTACAAATTATGTTATATTTATTATGAATTAGTGTTATCCTGGAATATTTGAAGTATTTTTAAAGGTACTATAATTCAGTGAGATTCTATTTAATCATTTGCATTGTGAGTAGACTGGTCAGATTTAGAGGTGGTCATGCAAGTTAACTTTTTATCTCTTCTGTTCGTTGTGCATTTACATTTTTGTTATTTGAAGTATGCACTATTCATTGCAGAACAGTACCAGAAACAAGAAGTTATGTTGAAGAAAGTTGTCTTCTGGGTTTAGGCACCGTGTAATCTTCGNCAGTTATGTTGTTTAAAACTGTTATTTTTGTCTTTGTTCATTGTCTGAGTTTATTAAAACCACTCAGATGATGGACAAAGTTCAGAATAATTGTTTTGAACAAAGTGTCACACTATTGTCCAAAACTTTAAACTTGGTTTAAGGCAGTTTTAATATTTGCTAAATGTGATAACTGAAAAGAAAAATGTTATCCTACTGTTATTTATGTGGCGATTTTCCCCCAGCTGGCATCTTTCTGGTATTATTCTTCAGTGAATAGCGTACACTTGAAATAACTTATACATTGAAATTCTCACATAAGTGAGAAAAAGAAATTTAATTGGAGGAAATGTAGTGATGAGAAAATCGGTCTGTGACCATAGAAATTTTACATTAAATGAAGTAAAACCTTGATTCAAGAAACATTAAATAGGAGTTTGACTGTATTATGTTAATGATCAATGAATAGTAGTGATGAAAATTAACTCTGATTCCAAATCACACAAAATTATGGTGCAAGTAAAGTTGAATACTATCTGATTTTAAGTATAGCGACTGCTTCATACAGCATTTCCATAGAGATACAGTCTGGAAAAAGAACAGAGAAATCTAAAATTGTGACATTTAGGGGAATGAAACCAGTTGGAAGCAAAATGTAATAGAATACTGGAACAAATTTATAGTTTTAATTATTTCTGATATATGTCCTATGTCAGAAAACAAGGAATTCTAAATCATTAGTTTTCAGGCATATATAAGTGTACAGATTTAGGACACTTCTGACCAACATCTTATGGTAATGAATCATGGACAGTAAGAACAGTAAATTAAATAAAATTGATGTCAACAGAAATGCTTTTCATGAGGGGGACTGTGGGATGCTCCCTTTTGGACCATGAAAGAACTGAATAAATTATGAGAACTATAAACATCACAAATAGCAAAAATGTAGAATAGTATAGAATAAACTGGAAACAGTGTGTTTTCAGGATGAGCTGTGACATGATTTCAAAAAATGTTTTATAATTGACCAAAAGGAAATAAGAAAGTTTGGGAAGACCTCCAAAACACTGAAGGATTCTGTTTTATTTTTTCCAAAACAGGTCTCAATAGGACTGGAAAGAATGGTGATTACTATTATTAACTAATATTTGCCACATATGCCCAGGAATGGCACCACATTTGCAAGTAGCATGATTAATTACTGTCTCTCAGACTGTGCAAGGGATTTTGCTCAAGTATATTATTGACTGTACCAGAAGATATAATACTTAGTGATACTATGGAAATAACACCTTTTTTTTTCAATTTTATTTTATCTGTACACGTTATATTTAATAAAATCTTATTAAGTAGTAGTGGTTAGTAATCAGTATCATCAGCAGGATGATTCTTTTCAGGTTAGTTTTGAACGAAAATTGGCATACTCATATATTTGCTGTGGGCTGGGTGAAAATGTGAAGTAAATCGAAGAGGATGTAACCACCACTGTGAGAACCTCAAATCCTGCATGTATCAAATCATTTCCATTATTTGATCTCTGATAGGATTACAGATCATAATTACAGATATAATGTGCAATGTTTAAGCATATTTTCATATGGTAAAAGCACTATACATGAATGTTATTAAAAAGAAATACTAAAAGTCCTGCAACATTGAAACTTCCATTTTTCTCCTAATGCCATTGTGCTATATTCAGCTTTTAAGCCTAAGGACCTCTGGTCTTTAAAATAAGTGTTTAATTTGTGGTGTATAACATAACAAGATCTGACGAAAGTGAAAGTTATGTTTTCAAAAATTGCAGACATTTAAACATTTAGTTAACATACCAAAAGTATGAAAATTATAAAAACTGTCAGGTTGCAGGTGTAAACCTTGTGGTGTAGTATACCAATGTAATCTATGCTAACCAGACCTTACCCTGTTTGACCCAGATGAGGCCTGATGTGCCAATCTAACTGAACCCGACTGAACCTGGCCATTCTGTGCCTGACTGTACAGATGGTTGCACAGTGGTCTGAAGTGCCAGTCTAATGTAACGTAACCACCAGTTTGACCAAGCCCTAAATGAATGCCCAGTGGATCTGCAGTGGTCTGATGACATGAACCTCATCCAACTGAAACTGATGAAATTTAAAATTGTTTAAAAAGCTATGAAGAACTGCCAAAAAGTAAATGCTTGAATTTTTATTATATGGCTCCATCGAGAAGTTTTCGAAAGTAGTCTCATATATGTGTGAACTTGGGTAATGCTTGCTACCATTCAGTCCAGAACCTTTTGTCTCCTCGTCCCTTGTCCAAAAACATAAAAATGAGAATATACAAAACTATAATTTTGCCTGTGGTTCTGTATGGGTGTGAAACTTGGTCTCTGACATTAAGGGAGGAACATAGAGTGAGGGTGTTTGAGAACAGGGTGTTGAGGAGAATATTTGGACCAAAGAGAGATGAAATCACAGGAGGTTGGAGAAAACTGCATAATGAGGAGCTTCATAACTTGTACTCTTCTCCAAGTATAATTAGAATGATCAAGTCAAGGAGGATGAGGTGGGCAGGTCGTGTAGCACGAATGGGGGAGACGACTGCGTATATGATATTAGTGGGAAAGCCAGAAGGAAATAGACCACAGGGAAGACCAAGGCATAGGTGGGTGGACAATATTAGAATGGATCTTAGAGAGATAGGATGGGATGGTATGGATTGGATAAATCTGGCTCAGGATAGGGACAAGTGGAGGGCTCTTGTGAACACGGTTATGAACCTTCAGTTTCCATAAAATGCTGGGACATTCTTGAGTAGCTGCAGAATTGGCGGCTCCTCAAGAAGGGCTCAGCTCCATGAGTAAGTAAGTAAGTCTCATATATGTGACAATATGTAATACCCTGGCTTTAAGCAGACTAATTGCATTATTTTTTGACAAATTTAAATGCTGCAATTTAATCTGTTACCAATTTGTATTTGTGCTTTAGTTACTTTTAATGGACTGGCTTATACAGTGTAGTCCATTGGTGAATTATTATATCTTTACTTGTTCTTCAGTCTGCTCTCCTCATGCAATTGAAAGGCAAAAGAATTCTTCTAGGATGCCCCCCCCCTAAACAACACATTGTATTTAAATGAAGAGAGTGCAATTCACTGATCTAATCTATGGTAATCTATAGTAGACTTAGTAATCATTTGGTCAATAATAACATATTAGTAAACGAACAATTTGGATTTAGGCCAAATTCATCAACCGATAAAGCTACCTTCAAATTACTGAATCAGATAATCCAAGCCCTTAATGATGGGCATAGTGTGGGAGGATTATTTTGCGATCTGGAAAAAGCTTTCGATTGTGTTAACCATGGGATATTGTTATCTAAATTGGAATTTTATGGTATATCTGGCCCACTTCACAAATTAATAGCATCTTATTTGAATGGTAGGTTTCAAAGAATAAGATTACAATCAAAACATTCTAGCTCAAGTACTTATTCCAACTGGGGTGAAATTTCTCATGGAGTCCCCCAGGGTTCCATTCTTGGGCCCTTGCTTTTTCTAGTTTATATCAATGATCTTCCGTTAATCCTAAATAAGGTTTCCACCCCTATTCTCTTTGCGGATGATACCAGTGTA